CAGAGCTTCCCACTTGCAAACAGGTGCTTTACCATTTGAGTCACACCTCCAACCCATTTTTGCTGGTTATTTTGGAGTTGGGGTCTCACAAACTACTTGCCCAGGCTGGCCTTGAACTGTGATCCTCCCAATCTCAGCCTCTCAAGAAGCTAGGATTACAGGCGTGAGCCACTGGTGCCTAGTCAAACTGGGCTTTTTACCCTCATGTTTGTTGCCTCAAAGAGGCTGCTATGGTTTGATGTGTGTTTGTCCCCAGCAAAACTCATACTGAAGCTTGTAATGGTATTGAAAGATATCAAGGGCTTTAAGAGATAAAACGTAGTGGGAAGTAGTTGGATCCTGACCTCCCTTGTGAAAGGATTATTACTAGTCTTGAGGAATGGGTTTGATCTCACAGGATGAGCTTCATTTCTGTGCAAGCAGGGTTGTTATAAAGAGCAACCCTCCCAGCTCTATGACTTTATCTCACCATGTGATCTTTTCTCCTACCATGTGGTTCTATCCACCATGTTATGATGCAGCCAAAAGGCTCTCACAAGAGGACAACAAGCTAGGGCCACCCAATCTTGGACAGTCAGCCCCCAAAATTGTGAGATAAATAAACATCTTTACTTTATAAAGTATCTAGCCTCAGATATTTTGTTATAACAACACAAAATGGACTAACACAGAGTTCATATCTTAAAAAATTTCTTTTCATGTAGGCACATGTATAAATATATTTGCATAACTATTATTGAGCAAACATGTTTAGAAAGAGAACAGTAAGTTCAAATGCTATGTGAAGAAAAAAGAAAGACAATGTTAAAATGTGATTTGGAGCTAACAAAAAAAAAATCTCTAAGGAAACTATAGTTACTAGACCAAAAAACTAATGCATGAAGAAAACCAAAGGTAGAAAGTTCTAAACTGAGCTCTGTTTCACCCTCTCATTAGCATTTAACACTCATTATGTTTCTTCTATTGTTTTTGTCAACACATACACACATTTTGGGGTGTACTTTGGAGAATTCCTCTCCCTCATGGGGCTCTTAATTACAGTAATCGTTTTTTCTCTAACCACCTCCCTACTTCATTATCAAAGTGGAATGAATATGACCCAGAATTAGCCAATTATCGTATCTCACCTATTCGGTAACAGTCAGCCATTCAAGAGTAAACATGTAACCCTAGCAAAGCTAATCAAAACCCTTCCCTGAAATTTGTGTCTGGGTATTGACAAAGATTAATTCTCTGTTGGAGATGTTAAGTTTAAAAGATGTGAAATTGGAGTTGTTGGTGCCATTTTCCTCAGAAACCTATCTGGAGTAGGGAAAATGAGGACAAACAGCTGAAAGGAACAGGGCCACAGAGTGTGGGAAAGAGGAAAGATTTAGCTCATTGTTTGAGTCTCTGAATCCAGATAAAGCCAGAGCCTGCCCTGAACCACTCAAATTTAGGAACCAATAAAGTCCCTTGGAATTTCGCTAGAATAAGTTAGTAGTTTCCCATCTGCAGTTAAGAGCTTAGGTTAATTCCCCAGTGTTGTCTATGTCCTTAGCCTAAGAAAAGAAAATAGAACATATACTAAATGGTTTATACCAGGTTCAGACGAAAATAAAGGTGTTAAAATCACCCAAAGAAGAAGGACATGCATCCTTTCATTCATAACCCCTAGCATACACCCTCCAGCATCAGGTACACTTTTAGGTTTTATGTTTTTTGTTTTTGTGTGCAGTGCTGAGGATTGAAACTTTGACTATATTAAGTCAGTGCACTACCACTGAACTACACCTTGTAGCCCACATCTAGTATTTTTACTGGTAAAAATTTTTTGATAACAGCACAGTACTGTCATTTTGGGTATTGAAAATAATTATATTACTATATTTTTTAAAGGAGTTTGTTTTTCCCTCCAGTATGTGATCTCTACAAATTTTGATTTAAAGAAAGAGACTTAGTCAGATGCCAGTGGCTCACACCTATATTCCTAGCTACTTGGGAAGCTTAGATCAGGAGAAATGTGGTTTGAGGCCATCCCAGGCAAACAGTTCAAGTTTGCCTCCAAAAATACCCAGAGCAAAATGGACTGGAGGTGTGGCTCCAGCAGTACTGTGCCTGCTTTGCAAGCATGAAGCCTGCAAATCCATCCCCACCAAAAAGAGAGAGAGAGAGAGAGACTTTATTTTTATCTTATTATGTTTTCTAAAGATACACATAATCAGAGTGTTTTAGAACCTCTAGACTAGTCATTTTTAATGGCAGTTAATGAAAGAATGTAAACCACCTAGCAAAATTCCTAAAATGCCATTTATTTTTCAAAGCAGAGGGGACATTTGCATTACTCTTTATGTGCCCAGAAGAGATTGCTCCAGAAATTACAGTGACCTCATAAGTAAAGTGACCCTGGAGCATTGTATTTTGTAGAATAATAGAAATATCTTGGAAAGTGGGTGAGGGATAATTAATATTAATGTAGGCGTGTCATGAAGCCATCATTTCACCTGGTTAACCCAAATACCTGGCCCTTGCCAGCCTAGCACTACAAATTTCAGCCATAATTCCACTAATACTAAAACAAAATCTCAAAGCTAGTTCCTATGATTGCCAAAAGTCACCTTTCAATATGAGCTGGGGTGGGGGGAATAGGTCTGTGATAGTCCATTGTTCCATCCTCTTCAATTTGTGGCCTCTCTCAAGGACCCTTGAGGAATCACCCTCTGTAGGGAACACCGTTATTCCCCCTAGTTCTCTCCACTGCTACCAATACTCCAGTGTCAGGAAATGTGTTGCTTTCCCTTTAGCTATTCTACCCCACATGGGGTGGTCTTGGAAATCAAATTAATTTGAACAAAAACACCATGTGTTGCACAGAGAAGAATAATCTCACAGAATCCAAGTGTAGGAGTTGTGGCCCAATATAAGAGACAGAACAAAAAGAACTAGAAAGGGGTCAAGTACTAAGGCATATGCCTTCTATATCTTCTTCTAGGGCCTCTTGGTCTCATGGGCATGTGCTCAATTCATCTTCCTCTATGGTTTGGTTTTCTTTACTTTTTCATCCATAGGCTGGAAAATGGCTGTTCCAGCCTCTCTTGGTTTCTCTTTCATTTTCTCTTCCAGCCATATTCTTTAATAGATTTATTGGACAGATAATATCATCTTTTTTTTGAGACACGGTTTTGCTATGTGGCCTGGGTTGGCCTGGAACTCAAAATCCTCCTGCCTCAGCCTCCTGAGTGCTGGGATTAGCAGCATGTGCCTGTCTTGATGCCATTTTGGTTCTGCTTTTCAGGGAACCCGGACTAACAATCTTATGTCTTTCCACTGCTTTCAGAAATTCTACTGAAGATCTTATGTTCTAAGATCTTAATGGTAACATATGAAGTATTTAAGCAAATTTGCTTGTGCTTTTTGTTACTTGAGAGTGAATGGACTGGGCTGAGGGATGAAGCTCTGTGGTAGAGAACTTGCCCTGCATGCTTGAAGCACTGGGTTCAATGCCCAGCAATAGAAAAAAAAAATGAATGAGTGATTTGTGAACTTCGTGGTCAAAGTAGT